CTGCAACGCCCTGTGTTTTCATTACCCGTTTATGCTATTGTACCTGATGACGGATCTGCGACGGAATCCGAGACATCAGGCAAATAAAGTTTTTTTGTCCCAGTGGTCAAATCTGCTTCTTCTCAGAAAAAGTGATTAAGAAAGGAACTCTAGTATGGCAGTGAAGATTTGATTATTCCACTGTTTCTGGATCAACAGAATTAGACAAGCCGAGTACCCCCGTAAAGGTGTGATTAGATGTACGTACATCAAATGTCACCGTGAAATAGTACTTCCACCTTCTGGCTTTACTGAAACTTGCCCCAAGTAAACGAAATGGATAGAAATGGTTGACAAAAGGCAAGCACGCACAGGAGAGCCCGTGCTCACACAGACAGACGCTTATAACACCGGAACACAATTTATTAGTGGTGTGACTATTCAGGCAGGCGACGTCCATGTGCAGCCTCGTGGGGATTGCTGGATTGGTCTGTTTAATACAGAGGGAAACTGCAAAAATGAATGCCTTGAACGGCATAGTTTTAGGGTACATTGGTCTACAGTCGTGGAATGAAACCACCACTCGACCGGGTGAGAACATGATGTAGTTCTACCCTATGGAGCAGAAAACTAGGCAGCACACCCATTGCGGGATGAAACGGTCCAACTTTCTGATTATTTAAAAGTGCGTTCAACACAACGTGGGGATCCGATCCCAGTCCCAGTGTTATCACTCTCACATGAGCGTCGAGTTTGGCTTCCAATTGCCGTGGCTCAGGTTGGTAATCCTCTAAGACGAGATAACGCGACGAGACTGCGAAAAGGACATTCAAAAAGCAGCATCTTTGGGAATGCAAACTTTAGTGTGTTCGCATAGAAAACCACGAGAATGTGTCACAGTCAGAAAACCAAGTTACTGTCCAGTCCGTGGAATTTAAAAGTTGAGCTACCGCATAGCTTGAAGGCAATGCTAGAAATCGACAACTAAAGACAAACTGCAGCTATTAAAGACCGATCTGTCAGGCGACGAAAACCCTCTTCTTAGACCAAAATCGTCGCTTCATCTGACGTGTCAGACTTTATAGAACTATGACCATAGCTGAATTCCCGGTGTTCATATTGCACCCACTTGAGGCACC